AAGGAAAGAATTTTTGCTGCGACCAAATTTAACAGAATTATGGCCCTTTGTTGATTTTTTCACTATATACCATATAAATGTTGTCAGTGGGGGCATCTGTGTCCTTTGGACACAGTTATAGTTTTTTTTTTCAGGAAAACAAAAAGAAAGGTTTTTAATACACTATATATGTTATTTGACATTTGAAAAATAGAGCAAATGAAATCATTTAACACAAAAAGAACATCTCTATTTTCATGAAAAAAAGGCCTGATATTACCATTACAATGTATATCAAAATTAACAATTACATATATATCTTGTAGACATCAAATAGGGAAAATTTTCATTTTTATAGACAATAAGTCTATATAAATTTTAAAAGACTTAAAAAAGTATTCATGCATACATTATGATCTATTGTAATTGTTTTTTTTCCACTTTCATGATGTCCAACAGTTTTTGGTATGATGAACAAAATTTAATCTAGGTTTCCTTTGGTTGAATGAACATATGTTTACTATCATTGTATAGAATTGTTGCTTTTGTACGCATGTTGCAGAAAGATGTTATTTTTATGGTGCTTTTTTCATATATATAGCAATTTGTACATTTCTATTTTTAATATTTTTGTATATATGTACTTGTATGTTATTTTATATAACATATTTTCAGATGATTGCAATTTTAATCATAAACCTTTAACCTGCTGAATTTCTTAAATGGACTTGTCCAGCTTCTATTTTTAGAACTGTCCATTATCAATATTAGTGATAGACTCTAATAAGATAAGAATATAAATTAACTCGGGCAACAGTACTGAGTATAGAGTCTGGTTAAACTGCTCAAACATGCAGGCTGGCCTGGCTCTATACTAGTGGCAAATGCTGATCACCTTCGGTTGTAGGGGCGTCCTTGGCCACTGCAAAGAAGAGGGGGTATATTGCTTTGCATTTGCCTGTCTGTCGTTCCGTAGACCAAACGGTTTCCGATCAATAACTAAAGAACCCTTAGGCCTAGGAACTTCAAACTTGGTATGGTGATTGGTCATGACCAGCAGATGACCCCTATTGATTTTGGGTCAAGGGGTCAAAGGTCACATTGACCTTGTTGGTAAAAAAAAGTTCTGCACAATAGCTAAAGAAGGCTTAGGCCTAGGAACTTCAAACTTGGTATGATGATTGGTCATGACCAGCAGATGAACCCTATTGATTTTGGGTCAAGGGGTCAAAGGTCACATTGACCTTGTTGGTAAAAAAAAGTTCTGCACAATAGCTAAAGAAGGCTTAGGCCTAGGATCTTCAAACTTGGTATGATGATTGGTCATGACCAGCAGATGAACCCTATTGATTTTGGGGTCAAAGGTCACATTGACCTTGTTGGTAAAAAAAAGTTCTGCACAATAGCTAAAGAAGGCTTAGGCCTTTGAACTTCAAACTTTATACGATGATTGGTCATGACCAGTAGATGACCCCTATTGATTTTGGGGTCAAGGGGTCAGTGTCATATTGACCTTGTACTTAATTAAAGACGGTTTCTGACCAATAACTCAACAACTCAAGTTGCCTTGGTTGATATTTTTATATTAAGCTAAAAATGCTTTTGGTATACACATTTGAAGGTCTTATGCAATATAACAACTTGCCTGGAATTAATGAGACGTACATGATTCATAAAATTTATGCATATATTATTTGGTAAGATTTGTAATAACTTAAATTGCTGCACACAATCTATGGGGTCACAATAATTATTACCTTGTGACTAGTCATGACCAGTAGATAACCCTTATTAATTTTTTGTTCACTAGGTCAGAAGTCATGCATAATAACCTTATCACATGACTAATTGCCTGCCGATAGGGGGCATACATGTTTTACAAACATATCTTGTTAATCAAGATTTCAACATTCCCGTCTTATTTTATTACGTACTAAAATTACCACTCACATCAAATTATTTAAAGCCCTAGATTAGAGTCTGGTGCAATTTGTTTGACAATATTTTGATTTTGAGAATCATTTTCAAACAACTGTTACGTATAAGCAAACATACATGTACCATAACTGACAATTGAAAGGAAAAATGTCTTGTATTTTGCTCAAAGTTTCTGCTGTATTTGTAAGGTTATTGAGGAAGTGTTAAAATATCTACCTCGATATAATTATTCATACATATAGCAGAAAACAGGTATTTGAAGCTTTAAGACCCATTATGCCTCAAAAATTAAAAAAAAAACTTTTTAATTTTGGTGTACTTTTATAGCATTCAAAAAGTAGCTTATTTGCTAGTTACAGGAACCATCTTTCTATCTGTTGCTTTTTGGCAGTAAGTACAGATATTGTGAATTAGTATTTTGTATGGAAGTCAAAATACTAATTTGTTAACATTTTTTTACTATTATGAAAAATTATTTCACATTTATGCTAATTTTTTAACATTTCTCCAAAACCATTATTTAAACATTATAAAATGTTTGCAACTTTTTAAAGAAATAAAAACTTGTTTCTGAGGCGTAATGTGCCTCATTGTCTACTTCCTCTTTAAGCATTTCAATGCCAGAGCTGTAATTTTACATTTTAGTTTGAAAATTTACATTTCAGTGCATTGAGTAACAGCAGGGTGGATTTGAATCCTTTGTTAATGCATTCTTGTTCATTCATTCTGTCATTCTATTTTTAAATGTTGTGCCTTTCTTTGTTTCATCATTATCTTTTATACATGTGATAATAAAAAAAAAAAGATTGAAAAAATACTAGTATATATTTACTTAATTCAAGTCAAAAACATTTGTAAGTCCCGAGTTGACAGTGTTCCTTGCGGGGCTTGCCCTGAACATGATATATCCGTATAAACAAAAAGATCATTTGCTCATCACAGGCTACCAGTCTCTACTATTTTGTCAGCTGTACGGCAAAGCCTTCCTGCATTGCAGTAGCACCGTATTGAAGAGTGGACCACAACCACTTCATTTAGAGGGCCATTAGTCTAAATAAACACCCCAATATCAGTGCTTTTGAGAATAATGACAAAAGTTGTTGGAGAGAGAAATAACATCATAGAGAAAACAAACCAGCGAGGCACATTTTTGTGCCCCCACGTTAGTGGCGGGCATTTAGATTTACCCTTGTCCGTCCGTCCTTCTGTCCGTCCGTTCACTTTTGTGTCGCACGTTACTCAAAAAGTATTTGACCTAGAGTCATGAAACTTTACAGGAATGTTGATCAGCATGTGTAGTTGTGCACCTGGGTATTTTTGTGTGGATATTTTTAGTATTTTCAGAGTTATTGCCCTTGACTTAGTAAAATTTTGCAATTTTCAACTTGTGTTGCATGTAACTCAAAAAGTATTTGACCTAGAGTCATGAAACTTTACAGGAAGGTTGATCAGCATGTGTAGTTGTGCACCTGGGTTTTTTCGTCTGGATATTTTTAGTATTTTCAGAGTTATTGCCCTTGACTTAGTAAAATTTTGCAATTTTAAACTTGTGTCGCATGTAACTCAAAAAGTAATTGACCTAGAGTCATGAAACTTTACAGGAATGTTGATCAGCATGTGTAGTTGTGCACCTGGGTATTTTCGTGTGGATAGTTTTAGTATTTTCAGAGTTATTGCCCTTGACTTAGTAAAATTTTGCAATTTTCAACATGTGTCGCACGTAACTCAAAAAGTATTTGACCTAGAGTCATGTAACTTTACAGGAATATTGATCAGCATGTGCAGTTGTGCACCAGGTATTTTCGTCTGGATTTATTTAGTATTTTTAGAGTTATTGCCCTTCACTTAGAAAATTTTTGCAATTTTCAACTTGTGTCGCAATTTACTTAAAAAGGATTTGACATAGTCATTAAACCTTATGGGCAGGTTGCTCAGCATATTTAGATTTGCACCTGGGGTTTCGCTTGTGGATTTATCCAGTGTTTGTAGAGTTATTTCCCTTGACTTAGTTAAAAGATTGACAGAACAGTGGCGCGGTGGGGGCACCCGTGTCCTATGGACACATTTCTAGTTCATTTTATGTTTGTATAGGGTTAACGCACGTTTTTCCGTGTTATAACGTCTGCAGAGTCCCGAGGAACGGTTGGTACCCGAGCCCGGTAGGGCGAGGGCTCCAACAGTTCCGAGGGACTCTGCAGACTTTATAACACGAAATAAACGTGCGTTGACGCTATTATAGCATAAAATTTTCAAACAGATTCGTGATGTATAGTTTATACAAAACACAATTACATTAAACTCTTGTGCTTGGACGGTATTTATCCAATTCTATGTTTTACGTATGCGTTTCATTTTTCCGGGGCCAACAACTTGGAAAATTCTCGGAACCGAATGAAATTTTGAATTATAATTGATTTAACAAAGCTTGGCCTTTGGAGATTTATTATCTCAAGAAAAAAAAACATTACATTACTCTTCCCTCTACCCAAGACAAAACATGACCCTCAGAAATTCTTAAAATGATTTCAGATTGACGATAGAAAAAAGATCAGTGACATCAGAATCAGTTTTTTTTTTAAGCAAACAAGTTTATAAAAAAATCAGGCACTAAGCATTATTCTCTCAAAGAAAGATAAAGAGCATTTATCAACATTAACATAAATAAAAAACATTTTCTCATATTAATTTTGTGTTATCTAGTTTTGTAAGTTAATCTGAGTGTTAAACTGAATGACAGGTAGATTCTACCGTATTTGTTTACATTGACAACTGTCCGTTTCTTAGAAAGGGCGACAACCAAGATTAGCACCGATGTCTATACGCCGTTTTTCCGGCATAGTTACTGGAATATGCGACTGAGGCCCTCGAATCAATAAATTTCAATATAACAAGAGCGCATGACTCTTCGGCAAACAGGCCAAATCGTCATTTTTTGTTTGTTTGTTTACTGGGCCCTGTATGTATTGCGCATAGGTGAAACCGGGCTATAACAAGAGCGCGTGACTATGTTAACACATGGTTTTGGTCCCGTTATAACATGGGAAAAAGAGGGAAAAATAGCCGATTTTATGCTATAATATCTCTTATAATCATTACAATGTGTATCCTTTAAAAACATTGCTTTAGTTAGTTAATTGCTAAAAAAGTTGATAATAAAATTAAGTAAGTCGAGGAGTTGCTCGATGCTGAACCATCAGAGTTGTTAACATTCTAAAGTCACACTTTTGATATGATCTTCATAAAACTTTGTTAGTGTGTTTGTAGTAATTTTGGACCAGCAAAAAGGCAACATTTGCAGGAAATAAAAGTTAACCATAGGAAACCATGATGACATTAGACAGCTTGCATTAATATAAACATGAATATAAATATTCAAAGCTTCTTAACAGTAATTAATATTTTATTCATTAAGTTTTCTTAAGTTTATTTAATTTCTTCAATGTAGAAAAAAATCTAATCCACAAAGATGTCCACTTTCTCCTAACATTAAGAGTGATTGTCAAGTACATTTATAATTCTATAATAATTTTTGCCGTCTACAGAGTTAGAATCATTCAGTTCTATTATATCCCCATGTTCTATTTGTAAAGCATGTGCTTGATTTTCTATTGTGAAAACTTCACTGTTCTGTTCATTTTGATCGATTACAATTTCCATTGGTTGATTTTGATTATCTGCTGATACTAAGGATATGTTCTGCTCGTTTTGACCAAGTAAAATTTCAACTGGCTGTGCTTGATTTTCGACAGTTGATATTTGTGTCTGAGTATTATCATCAATCACAAGGCTAATTTCTTGCACAGATGAAGGTTCCATATCTAAAACTTTCACTTGATCCTGAAGTAAATAACATTTTACATTTAATATATTAAATCATTTAGTCTAAAGATTTATCCAATAACAAGTACACTTAATGATTATAATGAAGGGCTAATCTGTATTACACATCAAATCACTTGTCCTTCACTAGTAGGTTCAAATGTCAACAGGGAGGTTGAATTAATCCATGTGAAGACGCTATCATATTATAGTTTGTAGAAAGTCAATCATTTTACCCAGAGGCACTCATGTGCCAAAATTTTACAGTACTATACATACATGTATTTTCATAAAAAGTGTTTCTTTACCGTATATTAATTCAATGGTTGGTGTCTCTTTAAGTTTTGTCAGAACTAATATGTGCATTCACACGAGCTAAAAAAAAATACGGAGCAGACAAGAATTTGCTAAAAGACCAACAGATAGAGAGATGACACTGATGATAACATATATAATATGACCATTCTTGCATAATATGAAATTATTTTGAAACAAAGTATAAGTTTTGTCACTTGAATGTGTTACATTCCATTTCATATAAGACTTGTACATCAGCTTTTACGTTGTCGGATACCCACGGCCGAACCATTAACATTTATTTAATCACATGTTATGTTATATGTTAATCAACTGTGGGTATCACACGATGAGCTTTTATAGCAACTGCTAATGTTCTCCCTTTAAGACATTAAAGAATAAAGTGTACATCAAGCAGTTTGAATAAATACAATAAAAATCAATCAGGTAATCTTTACGGCTTACTTTACCTCATCACTAGTTTTTCCTGCAGCTAGAAGTAAATTTGCAATATCCTGCATGGCAAGTTCCGAGTGACCTATAGATTCTGGGGCTTCTATGACATACTGATATGTATTTGAGCCTTGTGCTACTTCCACCACGAGGGATGAGGAGGAATGTTGTGGAACATTCTGCACTATGTTTGTGGAGAAGTTGTTCTGTGAATCTGTATCATTAGTGATTACAGCAGCCTGATTGTCCTATAAATACAAATTTTGTTTTTTTGACACATAAAGGTAATCTACACAAAATGTACTATTAAATTTTGGTTGTTCATCCTGAACATCATGCTCAAGACCATTTTGAGTATTTGAAAATGTTTAAATGACCAAACTATAAAATTATGGAAACAAAAACTATGGAAACAAAAATAGATACAATGTATGTTAAAATTACAATACATCATCTCATTATTTCAAATACAAATCAATTTAATAAAACTACAAGTACCAGGGGTTATCCAAAAATACAGACTATCTTTAATTTGTAAAATCTATTTGAGATCATAATTTATGTAACTTTCTATCTGAAATTTATAAAAAGAAAATTTAATACAATAAATACAGAAAGCTTCATACATATGTTTAATGTATTGTCATGTAATAAACAAGAGCTGTCAGAAGGACAGCGCGCTCGACTATTCTAAGTGCTTGATAGTAAAAGAGCCTTGATAATGTTAAATTTTTTAAGTTCACAAAAAGGGCTAATTTTTTGTTATAAATTCATGTTATAGGCCTTAGAGAGAGTCTAACTATACAGTATTGGCTTGACTATTTGGAAGGTAATGTCACAAGGGTGTTTTATTGAGTATAATAATACTAATTACCTATGAATACATAAATTTGACAGAAAAGGTACAAAGGCTTGTTATTAAGATGTTTTATCAAGTAAATCACTGCTTTATTATTATGAATACATAAAATTGTCCGTAAAAAGGCACAAACCCTTCAGTAGTTATTGAGACAAGCAAAACTTTACCATGAATTTCTAAGTTGAAAAAGGGGAGAAAAATCAGCCTAAATGCAAGATAGAATTATGGATCTTTGTCAGTGACCTACAATTATGACCCTAAATGCATATGTGAAGTTTTAAATTAATATCTTTAATAGTTATTGAGATATGTAAAACTTGCACGTAAACATTAACCAAGAGACTAAGTAGAAAAGGGGATATGAATCAGCCTTAATGCAAGACAGAGTTATGGAACTTGGTCAGTGACGAAGGGAGCGTACATACAATTATGACCCTCCAATTATGACCCTAAGTGCATGTGTAAAGTTTCAAGTAAATATCTTTGAAGACCTTTAACCTTTAACCAAAATTTCTTAGTTTCAAAGGGGCAAATAATTCTGCAAATATTGCAGGCAAAGTTATGCAATTTTGCAAACTGATGTACCTTGTTACTATAAATAAGTATTGTAAGTTTCAATTGAATATCTCAAGCAATAATTGAGATATTTGACTTTACAAAAAACTTTAACCAAAATTTCTAAGTTAAAAAGGGGCATAATTCTGTCAATATTGTAGGCAGAGTTATCCAACTTGTCAATCTGATGTACCTTGTTACTATAAATAAGTATTGTAAGTTTCAATTGAATATCTCAAGTAATAATTGAGATATTTGACTTTACAAAAAACTTAAACCAACGCAGACGCGGACGCTGACACCGACGCCGACGCCGGGGCGACTACAATAGCTCTCATATTCTTCGAATAGTCGAGCTAAAAAATACAAATTAACATAAACAAGTAACATTCCCATTCTAAAATTATAACAAAAGTCCATGTATTATGGGATAACCCCTTGTATAGACTAATAGATACATTTTTTTAATGTACAATTCTGCAGGTACTACCCGTACGAAAAAGTAAGACGGAATCCGCCTTATATAAGGCGGATTCCATCTAAAATATTCAGAAAATCCACATTTTCCTGCTAGGTTAAGGCGGACATGGAATTTCTAGCAAAGTCCGCCTAAGTTTCTGAAATTTCCGCCTAAATTCTCAAACAGATTCCGCCTAGAGCTTAGGCAGAAAAGGATAAATGTAAAGTCTTAGGCGAAAAATTCAACTTAGTCTTATTTCTTAGGCGTAACTTCCGACTTAGTCATTCAAGGAAACCTTGTGTGTTATGCGGCCAACTCAATTTAAGCGGAATTTCTGACTTCATCATATTTTGAATATTAGTACACACTGTCAATCAAAAATAACATAATTATGTATATTTACATATTCTAATGATTTAATCATTATTTTTACATAAGTATTTCCATTATTGTTTAATGGTAGGCCTGATCTTTTACAGTAACTGTTAGTATTAGCTTTTGAATATTAAAATGTGTGACAGTTGAATAACAGTATTTAATTCTTATCACTGAAACTTGTCTTATTTGACACCATTTTGTGTCGATTGTGACCACCCTCCCCAAACCAAAAGAAAAGCTTGCGGTAAGCTTGATGCAAGCTTACATTGGCTATTTATGCTTGCTGTAAGCTTGCCAGTTAAATTTCATACAGAATTCTTTAACTTGCGCACTAAGCTTACAAGAACAATTTTTGTCACATTAGCTTGCGCAAGCTTCTTTGAAAATTTGGACTTAGAAAATTCTGTGATTAAAGCAGTCTGGGAAATAAAAAGTAGTGAAAATTTTCTAAGCACAAAAACTTTAAAATGTTTATAAAAATCATTTCACTCAAACTAATTAGCATTTATATAATATAATGGGATTCAAATGATAACATTTCTTTCAATTAGTTTTTATCTGCCTGTCTAATACATTCTATGTTTTTAAGATTCATATAACTTTATCAAATTTTTTAATTACTGTTATTAAAATCTTGTTACTTTCTCAAAATTATTAATTAATGCCATGTCAAAAATTAGAGAACACCACAATGTGGCATCTGCATGATGTGACAGTAAAAAAAAGAAAATCACCCAAAATCAAAATGAAAGAGGAAATCATACAAATTTTTAATAAAAGTTTTCAACACAATTAAACTAAGATAAAGTCAGTATTTTAAATTAATTATTATGAAAGTTAACAAAATTCACATTTCTTAACAACTGTGAACAATTACAATCAAATATAATGTCAACATTATATATTGTCTAATGACTAATTGTTTTTTTTTCTTTCAATCACTTGTTAATTTGTTTTATTTATGTCTAATTTTTAATTCATTTGCACATTCAGTATATCCCTTCTTTTAATTAAACATTAACTATCTTGTGCAGAAGTTATTGATAGCATAATCATGGTCTCCCATGATGAGTATTAATTGTAGACTGTTGGTAACATACTGTATATGCCATAAACATTAATTTTGTAACTGGTCAGAGTGAGTGGTTGGTCAAGTGCAACTAATTACTTTCTCCCTGCTGTTTACATAATAGCCCAGTGTCAAACTCACCTATCTAATATAAAGGAAAGTGTGAGATAAGTGGGGTTTACAACATGTAATCTAATATCCTGAACCAATCTGGTATCAGGATCTGATCTCAGAAAATTCAAATATTACTCAGAGGAAGTTCATTTGGACCTCAGTGCTTATAACATTAGGAGTAGAGTTAAACATGTGACTTAAGTGCCATTTAGATGAAACAACTTAATAAATGTGAACTTTAATAAAATTATAATGGGACATTAAATGAGTTCTTCAGTCAGATGGAAATGTTCAATGGAATAATGGTAAGTTATTTACACTATTTTCATACAAGTTGACAGTCTTTTCAAATTTACCTTGTAAATGATTTACACTTTTTAATTCTAGTTTTTCGTCATAAATTTTACATATGTGCTGGTGTAAATCTTTTTCACTTAGTGTTATTGAGTGGGAATTTTCAAATCTGCCCTTTTTACCAGTAAATTTCATTCCTGGTCATGATGTTTCATTAATAAACATTTACATTCTTGGGATATTTCAGTAAATTATGGGTTTATATTAACTGAGTACTTGAAACTTTTTTAACTATCAGAAAAGCATTTTGAATTTACTCAATTTATAATAAATATATGTATTCAGTAGTGATTTTTTTTAATTTACAGGAAAACTTACAATGCCCACAGGTACCATAGAAAGTTTCAAATTATAATGATGATGAAGAAGAAGAAAATTGAGTTGATAACAGAAATAATTGATGGTTAGTTTTGTTATTCAATAAGGTTAGATAACTGATAAAAATAATGAAATAAATAATAATCATTGATTTGAACAATTTTCAATCTTAGTTAAACAACTTTCAATGTAGTATATTATTTCCATTTAAACAAAATGATTGTATAGATTTAATTTTTGTATATTAAAGATTTACTTACTTAATTACAATATTATTTATCTTAAAGGTTTGTAAAATACTTAAATGCATGTATTACTTTCACTAGTTAAAATTGTTGTCAATTTAAAAGCAAAAGTTCTAATAAAGATTCATGATCAATTCTGATGTAGCAGTCATTTAACCAGTAGGAATGCAAATAATTTTCAAATGTATTGTTTATAACAATTATAAACAATTGCATTGCTAGATATAGATCTACATGTTGTTGACATTATTTATAGCAATATTTAACAAAATTGAAAACTATTGCAGCTTGAAGAACAATTTTAAATTTATAAATAATTATTAAACTGGCAAGATTGCCAAAAAATAAAATTTTACTATTGCCTAAAAAATAATATTTTACTATGCCTGTGCTTTCAAATATTGATCTTTTTAATTACATGATAATAATACCAATCATATGCATACAAAACATAAATAATTAATTATTATACAAATATTTTTCAGTGTGTACACCAGGCTTTAAATGATATGGATAGTTGTGTGCCACAGTGAAGCCATTCTGAAAGACTGAATCTGTAAAGGACATGATTTATCATATTACAACATGGATACTTATTTGGAAAAAAACAAACAGTTATCTTAAATAAATATTTTGTTTTATATTTTCTCAGCTTGGTAGACATTTATTATTTTTTGTATTTGTGCAATAGAATAATGTTTGTTAAGATCTCTAATGGAAATCTAGAAATATTAGTTGAAATGAATAAATTAATTTTATTATATATTAGTTTATTAAAATATTATACCTTATTACATGACAATTAAAATTTTTTATTTGTTACAAGGCGGAAATTTTTCCGCCTAGGATGTTTCCTGCGGAATCCGCTTAAGGTAGGCGGAATCCGCCTAAGGTAGGCGGAATCCGCCTAAGGTAGGCGGAATCGGCTGACATAGCCAGACTTTAAGCAGAATATTTAAATGAGCAAAGGCGGATTCCGTCTAGATAGGCGGATTCCACCTTAGCTCATTTAAATATTTCGCACCATATTCCGCTTAAGGTCCGCCTAAGAAGCAATATTCAACTCTATTCAGTTTAAGGCGGAATCCGCTTTACTACATAGGCGGATTCCACCTACAGTCAGGGCGGAAGTTTTCGTACGGGTAATCACATTTTTACTCAAGGAATTAACATAATTATCTGTTTCAAGCAAGTTTAACTCCTGCTTGCACTGAATTATAGAGTATTTATTCTGTATTAAAGTATATGTTTATTGTACCTGAAAAGTTTCTTCACTTTCTGGGAGAATTTCTGTACCAGATATTGCTGACATGACTTTGTTAGGGTACCCATTTTTCGTTGTAATTATCTGCATTATTTCACCAGCTGATTTTGTCTGAGGTAAGATGTCATCATTTTGTAGTAGTTCTCCATGTGCCTTCAGCTTATGAAGTTTCAAATAAGATTGCTCTAGAAATCCTTGTACACAAGTGTCACATTTGTAAGGGAAGGCATCCGAGTGATCCCCATGTACATGTTCAATTAGACGTATCTTATGAGTAAAGCTTTCACTACAGTACGAACAATAAAACTTATCCTCTTCACTCTTGTCATAAACGCTATTTTTAGGGACCACAGGAACTTGAAAGTCTTTAATATGATGTACTGACATCATGTGTTCTTTCAAAAGAGGAGCTTTTATAAAACTGGTTTTACATTCTTTGCAAGAATAAGGGAAAATATTGAAGTGTACAAGCTGAACATGGGTAATCATGGGTATTTTTTGTGAAAACCCCTTCCCACAGTACGAACAATGGAAACTTTCAGACTGTGGTTGATGAATTGCACTGATATGTCTTTTTAAATTATATTCAAAATTAAAACATTTACCACATGTTGTACATGTAAACTTCTTAGCCAAATTAGACCCATGAGATTTCATGTGACGCCTTAACTGAGATTTATTGTAAAATTGTTTCTTACAGGTATCACACTTGACATATTTATTACCATAATGAATTAAATCAATATGTTGTCTGAGTGAGCCATGAGATCTGAAAGAAGCTGTACATAGATGGCAAAACGCTTTCTTCCCAATATCAACATGCATGTTACGGACATGCATTCTCAAATTTGATAGGTTACTACTTTTGTAGTCACAGAGTGGACAGGGGAAATCCAAATCTTTATGAGCAGTCTCCTTATGGTTATTCAAACTTGAACTGTCAATAAATGTTTCCCCACAAAAGGAACAAGAACACTCCTTTAGTCTAGAAATTTCTTTCAAGTATTCATCTTGTGCTGCTGTTTTCCTGTGTACCTTCAAAACATGTTTATATATATTTATATATCCATAAAGCTTTTTCCCACACATTTTGCATTCAACAATTTTACCCCTGGTCTGTTTTATAATTTCCGACACCACACCTTTACTAAGTATTTCCTGCACTTGTTCCTTAAGCTTCTTAGAGTAACTTCTATTTTCTTTACAATCCACATTATGGTTATTTACTTTCCTATTTTTCTTTTTAAATCTATTACTTTCTTCATCACTGCTACTATCAGATAACGATAAAGACCCATTGTCACTATCATCACCATCAATTCCTGCACTCTTTACTAAAGCCATTAACTTTGAGTTAAGCTTTCTACCTCTTAAACCATATCTCTTTGCAGGAAAGTTTCCATCAGTATCCGTCTTTTTCAAAGATTCATCAATTTTCTCTCCAGAGTCAGACATGCATAAATTTTCCGAACCTTTTGAAATTGCTGAATTTAAACAATCTGGGGATCCTGCATCCTTTTCTAGTAAGCACTTTACTTTCTTTGGCCTGCCTCTCTTTCGCTTTACTGTGGGTAATGTTTTGGGAGATACAATTTCAGCATCAGATATATTTCTCTGTATTACAGAGACTCCTTCACATTTGTTCTTTGTTTCCTCTCTATCAATATCTTCTTGTTCAGCAGGATTTTGAGATTTTGTTGAAATTAGAACACTTTCAACAATATCATTATGACTTTTAATAGTTTTATGCTGTTCCTTAGTTGTTGTGTTAATGTCATCCTCTATACTATTTATTATGCATTTATATATACCGTCTGACAGTGAAAATGGAAGTCTATCAAATGTTATCTTCAGGTGAGCTTGCAAATTCGCAAATGTTAGGTTTATTTCTTGCTTAAGGGTAGGCAAAATGCACTTTCTTTTGAAGGCGGAATTCTCATCTTTCTCAACAGTTTCCAATGCTTCTTTCAAACATTTAAAAGGTAACTGTATTTCAAAACACTGAATGATTGTTTCAGAAGTCATTGTTGAGAACTTTTGTTAAAATAAGTCTTGCAAAACGAGAGCAAAATTTACCAAAACCATCCAGCTTGTTTGCGTTTTTGTAAGAATTTTAAATGCGTGAAAATCGGTTAAGTTTGAATACCACTAAATCGAGTGAACATGACTAATTAATGCGCGTACATGTACATGTGTGAAACGAATGTATATCAAAATCCCCTTGATCATAATCCCCTTGGTTGAAAAATGACATAGTGATCGAAATCCCCTCAACAGAAATGACCGGGTGTTCATAATCCCCTTGATGGATAGTCAAAATCCCCTTGGCAAAAATGATGGGGTGGTCAAAATCCCCTCAACTTGTGAAAAACAACCCCCTTTACTCAATATTCTTTTTCCTTTGATCTTTTGTCACTCCAGCTAAACTATTGTGTTACATAAAGAAATGTTGCAAACAGCAGTTACATTGAGTAGAGGAAAGAGTATGGAGTATACTTTAGCAATATAATACAGGTTATTTTTAAATACTCCAATGTTGTCATTTTCATGTTAATATAAAATATAAAACCAGACATAATATTTCACTCTTATTTATTTTCTGACAGCACATTTTACATATGTTAGCACATTCAAGTTTAAGTTATTATCTGGAAAGATCTAAAGCTAGTGTGCAACAAATTTGCCTTTAAAGGTGTTTATCATTGCAAAGATTAATTGATTGTTTGTTACATATAACTATAATTGCAATGATTAATTATAATCAACTATCATTTATTTGTTTGTATTTTACAATTTTCTCAGCAATAATAACATCAATAAAGGGTGTCATTATTAACTGGCTGTGACAAACATACACCTTTTAATTGTTTGTATGCTTTTCTCTTTTTTTTCAGCAATTCTTGAAGCAGTTGGTTCTTAAATTCATTGAACTAAAAAGAAAAATAAGAAAAGAAATTATTTGAGGGGATTTTGACTACCCACTGAGGGGATTATGACCACCCCTTTATTTTTGCCAAGGGGATTATGATAACCCTGTCATTTCTGTTGAGGGGATTTCGATCACTATGTCGTTTATCAACCAAGGGGATTATGATCAAGGGGATTTTGAGCGTCTCCCGTGTGAAACGGGCCTATAGATAACGATTAATTCATAACCTAGGCATCCCTTTTTCTCACCACAATCTATTGTTACAACTCAGTCAAAGAAAAAAAAAACTCGGACTTTATCGTATAATAAGAGATCTGAATAAGTATAATTATTAAGTTTTTTCTTTATTATATAATCTCGGGGGGGGGGGGGGGGAATCCCGGGATCCGGGATCCGGGATCGTATTAGATATATAGGGAAAACTCCTAAACTATATTTGTGTTGATTATTGTCGTAATGAGAGGCGATTAAACGTTAACTATTTATTTCTTTAATTGTATGTAATGAACAGTAAATGAATTTAACTTAAGATTTAAATATATTTCGAGTTATTTATTAACAAACTTAAAATGCGGAAATCACAATACTTGTAATTATAGTATAATTGGAAAAATCAAAGTTTTTGTTAATACAATATTTGGCTTAATTTTATGTTCATGTATTTAAATATTATTTTTAGAAAAGATCAGAAGATATACTTAACATAATTGATAACAAAAAAAAAAACTTTTGACGTGTATGACAGGTGGTCAATTCCCGGGATCTCTCATGTACTGTTTAATAGATTCCGGCTTTTCTGAAAGCAAGATGGTAATGGTCAATTTCCCGGGATATATATATCTTATACGATCCCGGCTTTTCTTAATGCGATTTTCCGGGATCTCTTATATCTAATAAGGAAAATCAACTATTTTTCGTGACCATTATGGTTGAGTATTTATACATTATTGTAAATACAAGTTCGACTTAATTGGCATGCTTATTTTACGTAAAAGGCGTGTAAAATACTATATAAAAATGCTGATTTATCTGCAAATTAACAAATGTCTTGTTGTTTTTCTAATGATATATACTATACCAGAAGGCTTTCACGTTGAAGAAGAAAAAAGAAAGAATACAAATGTCAAACATAAGGTATATATTACAGATGTTTAACAAGTAATCAAGTTCCATCATCATGGATCGTATAAAAAATAACATGTTCCACTTATAAACAGATATGAATGTCTAAAATGAATATTTTTAAAAGAAGAACAAATTATTTGTCAATTTTTAATATAAAATGAAAAAGAACTGTAGCGGACCTCATTTTCCTAAAAAAATATGTCCAGTACAGGACCCAAAACGTATCGTCCATGGTGTTAATTAACATTGGTGTATTAAAGGTGTTTAGTGACACTTCCGACTATGGCCAATAGACCGAATGATAATTTACTCTTTATCTGCAGCCAATTGTATAAACGATGGTTAAAATATACCACGGTAAGTTAATAACCGCGGTATATATTGTGGTTAGGTAACCGCGCGGTTATTCCATTTGTACAAACAAATTAACCACAAGGTAACCTAACCACGCAAAACTGAAAATTTAACCATGGTAATATTACCAATGATGCACCACGATGTGACGTAATTTTCGCGGACAAACCTCAGACATCGTTTTTCTTGTTGAATAGTGCTTTTTTATATGTCTTATGCTTGACTTTGATATAATGAATTAAATTCTTTTGCTGCATTTATTGCTAGATAATGATGAAATGAAACAAGAATGATCTAATTCTAATTTATTTTATCATAAAATGTGAAAAGATACATGTATACCGCGGGAAATTAAAAAACAAAACCAATTAAGCCATAGACTACATTGTAGGTCCACATTTTTTAAATGTTGTCTATAAAACTTAAATATAATATGCTATTAATCTAGATCTTCTGAACAAGTTACATAATTATTCAATACATGTATTCATATATGCAACTGCAGAGATCGTGTGCTCGTTGAACAATAATAATGGCGAAACCTGTCTTCCATACAAAAAGCTGTGATGTAATCAATATTATTGATGTCATCGTGTATACTATGACGTAGAAACTTCATTCAAGTTTACAAGTTAGTTTATACGTCATTGACTAATATAAATATAAACAAGAGATCGTGGATATTTTTTTGTTATATTATATTGATTTGTGATTTTGTGTCATAAAGGAGTGAATCCGAGGGATATTATCTTAATCTATACATGTACTGTAGATAGAATAAACTTTTGCAGAGACACTGACAGGTAAGACCTTTTTAAATACATGTACAGTATACAGTATAGATCTTATTTATGCAGTTGTTGAAATGCACTGTGATCACAAGTTGCTTGAAAATAAATGCTATGTTGATGGGTTTTTTTTAACAATAGCTGCTTCGTCTGGTTGTCCTTGCGATTGTATTTTTGCATGTGTGTTATCTATGCAGATGAAAAACCGCGTTTTGTGTATTTAAATCCACAATGATTAAAAATTTTCGTGGTATCAGCGCTTGGTTCCGTCATTGAAGTCTGACAAGTTTTTTAATGCTGTCTGCAGCAAATCAATATCTTTTCTGTAACTCCTCGTCCGTCAAATCAGTCACCTATCTGTCAATTCGTCGGAATTGTGGGGTTGTCTGTGCTTACACGTAAAATGTCCGCCATGTTTGTTTTGGTTACCGTGCAGTTACCAAGCTTCAGTACCTGGGTTAGATTTAACCGTGGTTAAAGCGCGGTTATTGGTTTTGATATTTTTTATACAATCACTTACCGCGAGGTTACCGGGCTGGTTACCGTAACCGTGTGGTAACCGCGCGGTTAAATTGTTTATACAATTGGCTGCAGTACGTCTAATACGATAACGGTTTTTCTGAAAACTATATATTCTTGAAATGGTCAATACCCGGGATCCCTATGTGTTTTAATACGTTCCCGGCTTATCTGAAAAATATCTTCTTGGACTGGTCAATTCCCGGGATCCCTATATGTTTAACACGATCCTGGCTTATCTGAAAAATATATTCTTGGACTGGTCAAATCCCGGGATCCCTATATGTTTTAATAGGATCCCGGCTTTTCTGGCTGCGGTTCGTATTACATTGAAAATAGTAATTCACGTTACATAACTTTATGAAAATTTATATGCGCAAGATCATGGTAATTGAAAAATATAATGATGAAGCAATTAAAAAATTCAACACCTTAATTCGAATTTAATAGCTATTGCGTTAAAGATTAATTATACTTAAAATTGATATTTTATAATACTGATAATTTCTCTTTCTACTTATGTTTCATATTTTCTGAATGTAAAACAAACATATTTTAGTGCAGACATGTAAGATATATTATCTTTACACACGATATCAGTAAACACAGTGTGAAACACGGTCCATTAAAGGCAATTTTAAAAGAAAGACCAAATAACTTGACACTGTAAAATGCTTTTGCCAATAAAACAAGTTTGAGTCTTGCAACATCAAAATATTGTGTCACAAAGCGAATTAATTGAGAAAAGATAAAAAAAACCATTATCATAAAATTATACTTCACGCCAGTTTAATGCACTGCATATTTTATGAAAGGTACAATGAATTATATTGTGATATTTTCAACTTAATATTTTTATATTTTTCATATTCTGCTTATTAGATAATGTAAAGAAAATATTTTGCTTCATTTAACGTATTTATAAATAAGGTGACAAACGTACACAGAAATTTCGTTAATAATTGAAAAATACTTATTTCTGTAACAACTGTGTTTTTTTAATACTAGTTGGAAGTCATTCTTTGGGATCAAATCAGGGCCTCAAATCAGTGAGACATGGCCAATGTCATAAAGCCCTTAGGGTGATCATTTAGCTAAAGTCGGATCATCATTAAATAACTGGCACAAGTGACGTTATCTGATGTAATGTTATGCACCCTGTTGATTTATGATATCACGGCCCTGTGTCGCTTAATTGTAATTACAACATATGCACCCTGTTGATTGGCCTAGCGTCGCTTACAGATACAAATATTTTTATTAATGAAATAATTTCTGTGACAGTAAAGATTATATTAATTTACATATTACTCTTAATCATTTACATATTACTCTTAATCACATCTGCAAAACCTCTTTGAGTCAATTATACGTATATAATATATATTTAGAAATTAATTACGAAGAACAGATTAACCACGTGCATTTTTAATTAAAATTGTGAAACTGTATATATGTACTAGGCAAAGTTATTTTACTTGTATAATACTTTTATGTTTACTATTACCACGGCACATGTTTATGTTCTTCCTTGTTAATTTGTGTCATAATCATATATAATACTTTTTTTTATTATCTTATAAGAATAGATTTGTAATATCAACAATATCTTATTTTCGTCTACTGTGAATCCTAATACTTGAGAAAAGTCATTGCCACCTGGTTTTCGATTTTTTCAGGAACGTTTATATATAATATACATCCCTGGTTCTTTGTAAGATTTCTATACCGCATAATGAAATACAATCAATATGTATGGTTATAACAGGTACATATATTAACGTTATAAATACGACAAAATCATGCATAAATCGCGAATATCATGTAAATTATTACCTAAAACTTCTATCTTTTTATTTACTTTTCTTAAAATCTTGGTACATTTTTCGCGAGTTTGGTTTTCTTGAAATATTTTGGTTTATCTGGAGGCATGCAGCTTTAAAACGAATTATCATACTGAAACATGTGTTTATTTACATGTCTGTATATGTGAAGTTTTGTAACGAAAGTTATTTAGATATATTGCCTGAACATTTGAGACGATTTGTAACTAGATTACGAACTTCTGCACACAACCTAAGAATACAAACTGGCAGATATGCTAGAAACAGAATACATGCAATACAATAGAAATGAACGCTACTGCCAATGTTGTTCTTTAAGAGACTTAGAAGACGAATTTTATTTTGATCTTATATGCCCATGTTATACAAATATTCGTAACCTTTATATTAAAAGATATTATTTTGTTTACCCAAGTATGTACAAATTTATTGCATTGCTCTGGGACATAATATATCTTATGTCCCAGCATTGGTGCAAAGTAATATAATAGAAATGAACAATGTAAATTAGCATTTTATTACACAAATGATATAACTGTTAGAACTTCTCTATTAAATAATGTTCAATGATAGATCAAAATTTTTTATTTTAAAGTTTTGATATTGATTTTCTTCCTTAAATATGTTCACCCTCACTTAACTGAGGCTTAATAACAATCAACGTAAGTTTCATTACAATTATTGATATCTTTATATTATTTATATCATGAGTTCTTTACATTGATTGCACTGAAAGTACATGTTACTTGAATATTAATATGTATGTGATATTGTACTATGTATAAATCCGAAATAAAAGTTCTGTTCTGTTTTGTGTTTGTTCAAAATGAACTAGCTACTTCTACCTTACTGATACATGATTTAGATACATGTATATTATCATAGAATTAATTGATTGCCAACTTGTATTGACCTTCTTTATATACCCATTATTATATATATTTAAACTATGCCGCATGCCACTCAATAATTATTTCCCCTATATTATTATAACTTGATTTATTAGTGATGACGATAATGGTGATGACGACGACGATGATGATGGTGATAATAGACACTTCTTGTCTAAAACGATCCCGGCTTTTATAAATGTGATCCAGCTTGGATCTCTATATATCTAATACAATCCCGGCTTTTCTAAATGTGATATGGCAGACAGTCAATTCCCGGTATCTCTCTTTGTTAAGAATACGATCCCGGCTTTTCTGAATATGACACGGCAGTGGTCAAATCCCGGGATCTCTATATATCTAATACAATCCCGGCTTTCCTAAATGTGATATGGTAGATCAAAGATATTCTAAAAATATTGTACAAGTATCGTAATGATTTAATAGAGCAAATGATAATTTGTTTGTTGTGATTTTTTAAAGGTACAATCAGAGACATAGATGTTATCTATGTCTCTGGTACAATATACTAATTTATTGATAGGAGTAAAATGATTTGAACATTACAAGTCTGATTCTGTTTGACAAGTGGAAATCACTAAAAAATTAAAAGATTTATTTCTAAGTAGGAAAATCAAAAGATTTATATAAAAGGTCATCTTTTTCCGTGACGAATCAAACAAAATTTAAATAAAATAAAAATAACCGGCTTAATATTACTTTACGTAGCAATCACACTTTGGTTCACCAGACAGGTGTCTCTACTCTAATATTATAAAAGGGCACGTGTCATTTGTGTCAATATCTCGAAACCATCAAAACCAACTCCGTCAGAAAAAAGATACACAAGTCGACTTCATAATTTCTTTAAGAACACTGACATAACATTACACATCTGTAAAAAAATGCAGGGGTTAATTATCTAATCGATAATTTACCAATGACACCTGCATTAATGATTTATGAAAATACATGTATATATCAATAAATGAATTGACTGACAACTTATATTTACTTTTTCTTATTACATATTAACATATTATGATAAAAGTTTGGTACATACATTAAAGAATATATGTATACATGTACATTAAACTTTTATCATGATGTTTATGATGGACACACCAACAGTCGCGTGTTCAATAAGGGGCCCCGGCCGCAGTCTTGATAACCAATACACAGCGACTTCCACTGCCAGTACATGTACTTCCAAAATAAGATTTTAGGTGTGTGACATTCTGAGGTCAATTAACTCTCTCATGTGTGAAAAAATACGTTAGCAGATTTTTTTTCTTCATAACTACTACAAATCAAACTTATTCAAAAAGCTCTACAAAAACATTCAAATAATAATAATAATAATAATAATAATAATAATAATAATAATAATAATAATAATAATAATAATAATAATAATCTAAACTTTATTTCCGTACAAATTGTAATATTTGTAGTACGGCTGTTATTAATTAAACGTTTTCGTTATTAAACATATGAATTAAATGACCAACCAAAAAACATATACATGTACATATACAGTACCGAAAATCATTCAAATACAAAAATATATCATAGCCATCAACAATAAAAAAACATCATTAAAATTGTCAACAAGCATATCACAAGCATATCTTTGACGAAATACATGAGATAATCGATAATTTATCGTCGACACCGAGAACTGTTATTATTATATGTTTAATACGATCCCGGATCCCGGCTTTTCTGTAGGCGATCCCGGTATTTTCCCCCCACCTATAATCTCTGCGTTATTACCACTTTAAATATCACTATAAGTATAATTGCTTTATTACACCATTTGATATAAAAATGATAAATTAACATTGATCTACTTGAAGTTTAAATTTAAGAAAAATTTTACAGTTAATAAGCTGTACTACATGTAAAGACACGCCACCGATAAAATATTACTTCCTTGAAGGTATAGAGAAGGAAATTGAATTGAAAAAGAAAATAAATTGAAATTCGAAAGAATTAACGCAGGTTTAACACGAATGATCTGTAACAGCCAGCGTTTATTGAAAGTACTTTTGGAATATTAAACGTTATAATAGAATTTTAAATTCATTTTGATGAAATAATTATAAGATATGCATGGTGACACACTTTTCTTTTGAATAACCCAGGATTACATAAGCAAATATGAGTATAGGATGAGACGAAAATAAAATCATGTTACATTCAGGATCTGACGAGCACCATGCTCACATTTGCTCATTGTGTTCGAAAGATGGCAGAACCGTTTCAGCTTCGAGTTATTGTAAGGATTGTGACAACGTTTTGTGTAACGACTGTTTAACTCAGCACAATAGATTTGGAGCCATGGCGTTGCACGAAGTGGTGACAATAAGCGATGATGTTGACGCTAGACTATTCGTACCAGACAACGCTAACTTACCAAGCTTACAATGTAGTCTGCATAAGGGTAAAGTCTTGGAACTTTACTGTGGCAATCATGATGATGCGATATGCATAATCTGCAAAACAATGAATCATAGGTGGGTGTTGTTACGATAATTATAAAACTGCTTTCGTTCAAATTAATAATAATAATGATAATACAAACACGCATTCACGCACGCACCAACACACGCACACACGCACACACACACACACACACACACACACACAACAAAAATACGCGGAACAACCAAATTGCAGAGCAAAGTGGAGAATAAATCTAGCGTATTGATCATGTTCATAAATCGCCAAGAATGATTTATCAGAAAAGAGAAAGAGTCAGACTTTACCAGATTTTAAGTAAACAACTGCATATATAATTAATGTAGGACACTTATTTCTGAAAACTCAGTCAAACACTGACATTGCATTACTTGAGGCAATTGGGAATTTGCTGTAACATTTTGAATTAAAATACACGGCAATTTCCCTTATATTGGTATATTCAAACATAACAAATATACTTTTTTTTTAATTAAAATGGTTTTTGGATTTAAATAAGCACAAATCTAAAATTTGGGATTAGACCTCCCTATAAATAGTGCATTCCGCAATTAAAATTCAACGGGTATCGAGACAATTTTGATGTCAATTTTAATCATGATCAAGAGAAATTCAATTGAGTTACACTGCATAATGATACCATGCCTTCTAAAACTTTAATTTGATAATAATGTATTGCCAATATTCGACACATTAAAAATCAATGTCAACGTGTATTATTCACTCAATCTGATCGGAAAGAAACATTTTGTTTTCTGAATTATGATTTTATAAGGGCTCTTCTTTTTGTAGATTAAAAGGTCAAAATTACTTACATTGTATAAGGTAAATAAGCTCTAATGTTAACTACCATAAAACGTCATCAAAGTTGAAATAATCTGCATAGCATACATCTCTTAAGATTTTCAAAACAACTTTACAATTACAGTACATGCATGAAGACGCCAGATTTACCATCTGTTATTGAAAAGATACATAAAGAGAGAGATTTCACTGTAGCAATGTCAAGGATAAAAGAAGTGAAAGCCCGTTTAACTCAACAGAAGGAAAAAGAATTATTCCGGAAAAAGGAGATTATTGTAAAAAAGAATGATATGAAGAAACAATTAGACGGCGAGAAGCAGCTAATCAAAGAGCATGTTGACAGTTTAGAGTCTCCATTGCTGGAAGAAATAGAAACAATGACAAAACAGATAATGGATAGCAATGATCGCGTACCAAAAATATTGAACTACATACAAAGGGCTGAGAAAAATGAAAAGGGGTTTTTGGGCCGAGGAAAAAATTGCTGATTTTTATCAATTTTAAACAAACAAGAAAAAATAAAAAGAGAACGATTACAAATCAAAACTACAACATTTTTTACCCCAAAAAGCAGTTCAGACCAAATAAGAAGCTTTCTAGGCAGTTGAAAGGCATCGATAGTCTTGGAACACTTGTTCATGAGAGCAAAGAAAACATGTCTGACACGTTTGTATCTTACAAAGAAATCAATGTCATGACTGGGGATGATAAACGTGTCCCGGATATTTCTGGCGCTTGTGTTCTCTCTGATGGTCATATAGTACTTGTGGACTGCAAGAACATGTCACTCAAAAAACTCAACGAAAGGTATCAATTATCCGGGGATACTTTAAATTTAACATCAACTCCCTGGAGTGGTTGTACAGTAAACTCTACGACCATAGCCGTTTCTATGTTTGATGCAAGATCTGTTTTGCTTGTTTGGGTGAAAGATAAAATGGATGTGTGCACATCTTTTAATGTTAGCGATAGATGCAGCGGCATATGCCACAACGACGAAAAACTGTATGTTTGCGTTGGTGGAATGGGGATCGGTTCTAAAGGGGCAGTTGAAGTTTATACTCTGTCTGGTATAAGACTTCATGTGTTTACTAGCTATATCAGTTGTCCAAGATCAGTTACTGTTTTAGATCAGACAATTTATGTTGCTGATAAAGAAAATGTACTGATTGAAATAGGAAATGGTCGTACAAAAATCCATGCATGTGGAGATCTCGTTGAAACCTTTAGTATTTGCTTAAGCTCAGATGGCAATCTTTTCCTTTGTGGTATGACTTCAGAAAACATATTATCTTTTTCTACTAAAGAAAACGTGTTTACTGAATTTTTGTCGGAGACATTCGGTATTAAAAGGCCACAATTGCTATGCTTTGATTGGGAAAAATCGAACCTTTTAGTCGGATTGGAAAACTGTGAATTCATTAAAGTATACACTTTGAATTGAAAGAAAGGATTAAAAGAAACCTAAATAGATATATAGAATATCGCGACATACAATACAACACAGTCATTTGTTATCATTCCAATCTATTTAACAAAGTGGCTCTCCGTGGGTTCTCAACAGTCTACCGTTTTCTTTTTATTTAACATAGTCAAATAGAAGAAAATGAAAATGTTCTATATACAATGGATTGAATATCTCTGAAGCGATAATTTTTTAATGTTAATAGCTATATATGAAACGCTTAAAAGTATGGATAAACTATCGACAATGCAATATGTACAATATCAGACTATGTTGCGGTCAATATTTAGCGACAGGTATGTAAAGATGCGTTCAAAGCAAGTCAATAACCAGCAACAGAAAGAATATTTCATGTTAGTAATGGCACAACTGTGGGAAGCTTTGTTTAAAGCGAACATATTTACAGTCTTTACAGTAATTTGGAATTCATACATATATAGTGTGTGAATTTATAATTAGTCAAGAAAAATATATAAAGAACAAGGTCTCTGTAAATGATTAGAGAATGTAAGGCATTGTGTATGTTCTGTTTCTTTCTTTGAAAATTCTTTATATACATTTATAGTTTTACATAAATAGCATCAATGGACAGTGGTCCTTAAGACTGGTATGGTGTATTAGATGAGTGTATTGGTAGCACTACATGTATATATGTAAATTAAAACAATAAATGGATGTCAAATCAGCGTTATTTAGTCATATTTTTTTCTTAACAATTCTTAATTTTCATAATTATTTTTTGTACAATAACTGTTTTATGTTACAATTAAGGTAGCGGACATTTAAGGAGAAAAAACCCAACTCAAAACAGCGTTGTAACAGTGGTTCGATAGGAGAAGAAAAAGTTGATATGAAAAGAAATTTCTTGCAAAGATATTGTTAAAATGAAAGGTTTTGTAAAATGCAGAATATACATTATATCAAGTACATATATGTTTTGTTTTTTGGTGTCTCTCACATTTCTTGTCATGTTTGTTTCACATATAATACATAATAATACATAGCTTGTACATATGCAACTACTAGTACATGTAGTATTTAGTTTAATGTACGATTATTTGAACTTTAATTGATATCGTTATATTTGCTATTGTCGGTTGTGTAAATAAAATTCATCCCTATCTTTTACCCGCTATCTAAAAGCCATGAATAAAAGTGTTGATACAAGTATATTATTAATATATATCTAAATAATAAAGTTTTCAAATATATAATCGAAGTAGATACATGTTTTAACGAAGGCATACTTTGATAAACATGTAAACTTACTTTATTCATAGTTATATACCTTTGTTATCAGTTCGTTAAACACATTTTCTTCATCCATGTAGGGTTTATTAATTACTTTACGAAGCAAAAGTTTTATTTAAACGGTAACTAAAAAGTTATAACAATGCAAACCAATATTAAATTTACGCGTGTGCACGGATATATAATATTGGTTTGCATTGTTATAAAGTTTAGTGAAAATTTACTTTAATCATGAAGGGAAAAATTGCAACTTAGGTTTCTTTTTGCTTTATACTGCAGCAATAAAAGATTGAACTTTGCATGAGAAATAAACAGCATGTAAGGAAAACCGGTGTTTATTATTGTCACGAAACTCGTTACACCAATTGCATTTTTCACGAAATACCACTGTGTAACACAGTATTTACTTAATTTTGAATGCTTAGTTATTGGCCTGTACTTTTCCCCAGTAACACCATTTGTAATTTGGCTGAAGCTAAATTTATGAAGTTTCAAATAAAATTGCCCAAGAAATCCATGTACACAAGTGTTACATTTGTAAGGGAAGGCATCCAAGTGATCCCCATTTACATGTTCAATTAGACGTATCTTATGAGTAAAGCTTTAACTACAGTACGTACACTCTTCACTCTTGTCATAAACGCTGTTTTTAGGGACTTCAGGAACTTGAAAGTCTTTTATATGATGTACTGACATCATGTGTTCCTTCAAAAGAGGAGCTTTTATAAAACTGGTTTTACATTCTTTGCAAGAATAAGGGAAAATATTGAAGTGTACAAGCTGAACATGGGTAACCATGGGTATTTTTTTGTGAAAACCCCTTCCCACAGTATGAACAATAAAAACTTTCAGACTGTGGTTGATGAATTGCACTGATATGTCTTTTTTAAATTATATTCAAAATTAAAACATTTACCACATGTTGTACATGTAAACTTCTTAGCCAAATTAGACCCATGAGCTTTCATGTGACGCCTTAACTGAGATTTATTGTAAAATTGTTTCTTACAGGTTTCACACCTGACATATTTATTACCATAATGATTTAAATCTGTATGTTGTCTGAGTGAGCCATTAGATCGGAAGGAAGCTGTACATAGATGGCAAAACGCTTTCTTCCCAATATCAACATGCATGTTACGGACATGCATTCTCAAATTTGATAGGTTACAACTTTTGTAGTCACAGAGTGGACAGGGGGAATCCAAATCTTTATGAGCAGTCTCCTTATGGTTATTCATACTTGAACTGTCAATAAATGTTTCCCCACAAAAGGAACAAGAACACTCCATAAGTCTAGAAATTTCTTTCAAGTATTCATCTTGTGCCGCTGTTTTCCTGTGTACCTTCAAAACATGTTTATATGTATTTATATATCCATAAAGCTTTTTCCCGCACATTTTGCATTCAACAATTTTACCCCTGGTCTGTTTTATAATTTCAGACACCACACCTTTACTAAGTATTTCCTGCACTTGTTCCTTAAGCTTCTTAGAGTAACTTCTATTTTCTTTACAATCCACATGATGTTTATTTACTTTCCTATTTTTCTTTTTAAATCTGTTACTTTCTTCATCACTGCTACTATCAGATAACGATAAAGACCCATTGTCACTATCATCACCATCAATTCCTGCACTCTTTACTAAAGCCATTAACTTTTAGTTAAGCTTTCTTCCTCTTAAACCATATCTCTTTGAAGGAAAGTTCCCATCAGTATCCGTCTTTTTCAAAGATTCATCAATTTTCTCTTCAGTGTCAGACATGCATAAATTTTTTCCGAACCTTTTGAAGTTGCTGAATTTAAGTAATCTGTGGATCCTCCATCCTTTTCTAGTAAGCACTTTACTTTCTTTGGCCTGCCTCTCTTTCGCTTTACTGTGGGTAATTTGTTCTTGGTTTCCTCTATATCAATATCTTCTTGTTGAGCAGGATTTTGAGATTTTGTTGAATTTAGAACACTTTCAACAACAACAGTATCATTATGACTTTCATGCTGCTCCTTTAATTCCTTAGTTGTTGGGCTAATGTCATCCTCTATACTGTTTATTATGCACTTATATATACCATCTGATAGTGAAAATGGAAGTCTATCAAATGTTATCTTCAGGTGAGCTTGCAAATTCGCAAATGTTAGGTTTATTTCTTGCTTAAGGGTGGGAAAAATGCGCTTTCTTTTGAAGGCGGAATTCTCATCTTTCTCAACAGTTTCCAAAGCTTCTTTCAAATATTTAAAAGGTAACTGTATTTCAAAACACTGAATGATTGTTTCAGAAGTCATTGTTGAGAACTTTTGTTAAAAAGGGCCTAGCAAAACGAGAGCAAAATTTACGAAACCTGCATGTAGCTTGTTTGCGTAATTGTAAGAATTTTAAATACGTGAAAATCGGTTAAGTTTGAATACCACTAAATCGAGTACACACAAATTGCGAAAACGACTTTTAAAAATTCGCAATGCGCGTACAGTACACTTGTGCGAAAAGGTTTTTAAGGATTAATTTATAAACTTATGAATTTTATTAACATTCTTTTTTTACCACAAATTATTGTTACAACTCAGTCAAGTAAAAACAAACAAACTGGGATGTTATCATTTGCCCCAGAGTAAAAATAACGGAACTGACTAAGTATATAGGCCTAAAGCTTTTTCTTTATAAATCTCTGCGTCATTATCACTTTAAATATCACTATTTATAAGTATAATTGCTTTACTATACCATCTGATATGTAATGATTTCACGATTTATCAATTTATTGGTAAAGAACATTAATTAAACTACTTGAACTATTTAAAGAACAATTAAACAGCTTACTAGCTGGACTACATCGCAACTTTTCGGCCCTTTCCGTAAGTTTTCGTAAGTTATTCACCACTGATAAAGTGTTACTTCCTTGAAGGAAATAGAGAAGAAAATTGTGTATTTCGTAGAATTGAAAAAAAAGGCAATAAAATGAAATTCTAAAGAATTAACGCAAGTCAGTTTAATACGAATTATCTGTAACAGACAGTGTGTATTGAAAGTACCTTTGGAATATTAAACACTATTTAGAATTCTAACGTCATTGTCATCTGATGACACACTTTCGTTTTTGAATAACCCAGAATTACATAAACAATTAGGTCAGACACTCACATTGATATCTCCATAGACTTACATTATAAGAAATGGTCCCTTATCCTACCTTAAAATTCAGTTTTCATGCTAAAGAGGTATTTTTTCTAGCAGAATGAAATGCCTGACACATAAAAATGTTCCTGTTATATAGGGGTAGCCGACCAAATTTTTTTGCAAATGACTTCCCAAGAGGATTACCCCCCATTTCATTGAAATTTTCTGCTGATCACAGGACTGACACACACTTTTTATAAATGCAAATATCCAAGTCAAAATTATCACAGAGACTCATGAAATATTTCATTTTCTTCAGAAAACATTGTAGTGTTACTTTTTAAATTAGTTTTTATACTTAAAATTACCCAACTTTCATCCAATCGCCTCATGTATAAACTGAATCATACGGTTTTCCCTGCACTTTTTTCAGCCAATCGCTGGCCGTGTTACAATGCGTTACCCTGACCTAAAGGAAATATTAAATGTTTAGTATTCTAATATCTAATAATAAATAAAGTTGCATATACAATTACCAATTATATGGATGCATTTTCACCATTCTTAAGTCATTTAAAACTTTGAAGTTCCCTTTTTTCTAACAAGCGCCGTTATGCCGCATTCCGGATATTCTGAAAATGAATGTTAGCATGTGATTTTTATACATAACTCATTATTCTGAAGCCAATTTTATAACAACTTCTATAAAATCACTCAGATAGCAAAACTACACTGTTCTCACTACAAAAGTGCTTCAAAATACTAATTTTGCAACAAAAGGATGCAGCAGGGAGCAATTTTATCACCCCACCCATTACAAAATAAGTGATTTTTCACCCAAATTTCAACATTTTATTACTAATAGACTTCCTGAATGAAGATTTAGCTTAGCAAACATACTTAATAACTACTGTATAGTGACCTGATTATGGATTAAACAATATTTGTACACACATAGCAACATTTTGGGTGTAACTAGGTATTTTAAAACTGCCCTCCTGCTATATTTTTTTCTACTCCAAATATTTGCTTATATAGTCTTAAATACAAGCCTAAATGTCAATAAAAAATGCCAAAATACTTTATATATATTTTGTCGTCTCTCTTACATGGATATAAAAAACTGCCAACTATATGGGAAAAAAACCAAGTTCCTCTGGACTTAACAGCCTCCACAGTAATAGTCCTAAATTTTGACATTCGACGCCGCCCATTTTTTGGCCATTTTTGCATTCATTTGGAGTCAAAATATGACATGTTTTGACCACCTTCTTTCAGGGTGTCTTTACCAATGATAAATCACCTCTTCACACCAAAATGTACTTGGAAAGGAAAAGCTAATCTGTATTTTTTCTCTCATTTAGGTAGCCAGAAACTAGAATTTATGCACTTATCTAAGTTTCTCAATAAATAAAGGGAGGTAATTCACCGAAGTTGTGCATATAATCACACCCTTTTTATACATTTATCTACCAGAATAAGTGCTTTTTCTGTTTATAGACACATCACAGACACTAAAGCTGTGTTATAATTGTGCCTAATATGATTGTGAAAAAGTAGATCAACTTTTACTTATCAATAAAACTTTTCTACAAAATAATTCTAACCTTGGCCATTATGGTGCACATTCAATTATGCATTAAACAGACATAAATTCTAAAAACTATGGCATTATACAATTGTGAGTGTGTAAATATGTATTACCAAATAGAAAACAATAAATTCTTATCACTATTTTGCATCTAAACCACATAATAAGAGGCTATTCAGAGGCAACCTAACTGAATTATGCTACATTTTTCAATGGATTTCAATTTCTAAGTATGTGTGACTATATTCATGTCCCTGCAAACCAAGGTAAAATTTTAAGACAAAAGCCGGTGCTGAAAATGCCGTATTTAATTTGAAGCTTTATGAGTGTGCTAATCTCTATGGCTGCCAAATTGAACACAAAACCATTCTCGTCTATATGGGAAACAGAACAAAAGAAGCCCCATCTTTATTTCTGTGACATTCTATTTCTAAAACTATTATTGCAGCAAAATTGCCAGGAAAAAAATTTAGTGCGAGCGAGAAAATTTCCGCCCCACTATAAATTTAAAGTCGAAAAGTTAATCAGAAACAGCACCCTAGATTTTTAAGCTATTATATATTAGTTGATCACCTGCAACAACAAAAATGGCATTGTGTAGTGATATACCTCCAACATCCAATATTCCAAAAGTTTGGCCCAAATGATGCTTACATCACGTCCCTGTCACAGTTATACATGAAAGTCTTCAAACCTGGGCATGTGTATAGCCAATGTTACAGCATTTCTTTGAAAATCTGAAAAAATATTTTAATAGATAAACCAAGGTCATACATTATTTCATCATCAACATATCACCAATTGGATTATCACTCAAATTCACTGTTTCAAAGAAAATATAAACCATTCTCTACTCTTATGCTAACCACTAACTCACTACTTGTTCATATGTAAACAGATGCTCTGGTAGAATTGACCACCCTTTTGACACATTATCTTGCCTGTACAACACCAACAGTTGACCCATTGAGAATAAATGAAATTTCCATTACCTAGACAGGCTGATATTGAACGATTCCATTCTTCCAAAAATAATCAGCTTTTCATGCGTGTAATCATTGAAGAAACAAAGTTACGTGTACTCGCTAGAATTATGACAGCTTCAAATTTACATTTCTCTTTCAGGTCAGTGACACTCTTGCACATTGTTGAGCTATCCTCCATAGTGACTGGTGTAATTATAATAAGAAATGCGGAGATACACACATTATATATCTTACCTACCTTACTTTGTGTCAGCATTTGCATGCCCTAAAGCCAGTAGCTATTTTTTTTTCTTACCGCAGACTTTGAAATGCCCTACTGACACATAAAATGTTCCTGTTATATAAGGGGTAGCCCGACCAAATTTTTGCAAACATGAACTTCCAAGAGGATTTACCCCCATTTCATTGAAAATTTTCTGCTGATCACAGGACAAATGACACACACTTTTTATAAAATGCAAATATCCAAGTTCAAAATTATCACAGAGACTCATGACAATATTTCATTTTTCTTCAGAAAACATTGTAGTGTTACTTTTTAAATTAGTTTTATACTTAAAATTACCCAACTTCATTCCAATCGCCCTCATGTATAAACTGAATCATACGGTTTTCCTGCCCACTTTTTTTCAGCCAATCGCTGGCCGGTGTTACAATGGTTACCCTGACCCATTATGAGTTAACAGTAGGAGCGAAAACGAAATCATGTTACTTTCAGCGATTCTGACGAATGCACGGCCCATGCTCACATATTGTCAGCGTGTCGAAAGATTGACGCTAGAACCGTTGCAGCCTTCGAGTTATTGCTAAGCCCGATCTTGTAGCCAATACGTTTTGGCTGTAGCGACTGTCTAAAACTCAGCACATAGATTTGGAGCACATGGCGTTGCACCGAAGTGGTGAACAATAACGAATGATGTTGACGCGCATAGACTATTTCCGCTACCAGACAACGGGACACTAATTCA